CCCCCCCCCCCCCCCCCCCAAGAAGGTGTGTCGACCGCCTGCAACGGAGCGTGCAGGAGGAACGACAACGACCGAGACCCCGCAAGGTTGTGATGAGGACGCTGACAGACTATCCTTATCTTTGTGTCGACGACGCGGTGCACCTCCATAAGGTTTCGGAGGCGAGAGCAACCCATATGCTCAGAACTACGCGACAGGCGGCGGAGCGAGCGGAGGCGGCTTCCTCGCTAACGGCAGTCAGTCCGACTCGCCAAGCGGAAAGGTGCGGAACGACCCCTTATCCCGCTCATCGCTCACCCGCTCATCCAGCCACCCGCTCAATGCGGAGCGGATGCGGGAACGATCGTAGTGCTACGAACATCGTAAGCATGGAAGCAAGCTGACACCTGCCTTTCCCTCCTTCTCATTGCTCCACATCAATCTTCGCTCTTCGTCTCGTTCGATACCACCAACGTACCGTCACAATGGTTGCTGGCTTCGCACCCAAGCGCGCGAGCAACAACACGCTGAGGCCCGTCACCATCCGCCAGCTCATCAACGCCGAGCAGCCGCACCCCGACGCCGACTTTATCGTCGACGGTGCCGAGCTCGGTCAGCTCACGTTTGTGGCGGTGGTGCGCAACATCTCGCGCAACGCCACCAACATTGCCTACAGCGTCGAGGACGGTACCGGCCAAATCGAAGTGCGCCAGTGGCTGGACAGCTCTAGTGACGACACTCAAAAGGTTTCCGAGATCCGGTAAGTCGTTCCGCCCCCATGCGCACGATGGCACTGTAGACTGACCTGGCTGTATCTTTTGCGTGCGCAGTCAAAACGTGTATGTGCGCGTGTTGGGTACGCTCAAGTCGTTCCAGGGCCGTCGATCTCTCTCGGCAGGTCACATGCGCGCTGTGGTGGACTACAACGAGGTGCTCTTTCACCGGCTCGAGGCGATCCACTCGCATCTGCAGATCACGCGCGGCACCCACGGTGCCCCCGGCACACAACCCGATGTTGGCCAAGGCCTGATCCGCGGTCAGCCCAACGACATTGGCGCCTATTCGGGCTCCAACGCACAGAATGTGCTTGACCAGTACCAGAGCTTGGACGAGCTCCCGCGCCGCATCATGGGCATTGTAACTCAGGAGGCCGAGAACCACCACGACGGTGTCCACGTTAGCCACATCGCTCGCATGCTCAGGAACGTCGACATCGCCCAGGTCAGGAGCGCAGTAGAGGACCTCAGCTCGGAGGGTTACCTCTACACCGCCGCTGACGACGACCACGTCCTTCCCACCGCATGATCCCGATTTTTCGCACACACAAGCTCCTGCTCCGTCGATCACGTTCGCACGCATCGCGTTCGCAATCTTACTTTCTCATTCGCACTGCACAATTCTGTCTCGCGCTCCCCTTCCTGCAGCGAACGCAGATCTCTTGAACAACAGCTTCAGATTGCTGAGGACACATGGGCGACGACGCATCAAGGCAGCTTAGTAGCCGCCGCCGTATCCGCCACCGTAGCCGCCCTGCTGACCGTATCCACCCTGGCCATACTGAGGCCCAGGCGGTCCGCCGGGCGGAGGATACTGGCCATATCCGGGCTGACCTTGACCTTGCTGACCATAGCCCTGCTGGCCGTATTCAGGCTGACCGTACCCGCCCTGGGGACCGCCGTATCCGCCCTGAGGAGGCGGGCCACCAGGCGGAGCAAATCCTCCAGGAGGCGCATAGCCCGGTGCAGAGTAGTTTCCGCTCTCGTGGCTGCCGTAGCGGTCGTGACCAGTGGGCTCCGCCTGCGGGAAAGAAGGCCTGTCGTTGTCGTACGACGATCCCTGCTCGTGCCTTCGCCCCTGCTCGCGTCCACCGTCATTGCCGCCCTCCGGAAGCTCGCGGAACATGTTGTTGCCGCCAGGCACGTGGCTGCCCACAAATCCATGCACCTGGTTCGAGACGTAGTTCGACGCGTAGCCTGCCATTTGCGAGCCGATGCTACCGCCACCGCCGCCTCCTCCACCACCGCCACCGCTGCCTGGATAGCCGCCTCCGCTGTTGCCTCCACCGTGGCCGCCACCGCCGTAGTGGTGGTTGCTCGAAAAGTTGTGGGCGGCCTGCGAGCTGCTTCCACCCATGAAAGAGCCGATGCTGGGCTGGTCGCTGCCGTGGGTGTGCGGCTCGGCCTTGCCGCTGCGCGTGTTGGTGTGGTTGCGCACGCTCTGCTTGCTCAGACGGCCGATCTCAGTGGAATGCTGGCGCGCCCACTCGGAGACGTAGTCCATCATCTCCTTCTGCACCTGCGCCTGGCCGTTGAACCAGTACGGATGGAACATGGGCGCGAGGCACTCGTCCGCGACATGGTTCGGGTCCATGCCGCGGTCGTCCCATGCCTTGACGACTTTGGTAACCGTGTGACGTACGATGATCTTGGCCACGTTGCCGGCAACCTCGTTGAGGATGAGGCCAAAGTGGTCCTTGGACAGCATCGAGTGCGTCGGGTCCGAAGCGTTCGGGTTGTCAAACACCTCAAACTGCTCCTCCTTGTTGATCACGGCTGCCGAGCCGAGCTTGAATGCGCTCATGCCCTGCTGCATGATCGGCTTGGCGTACGGCTCGATGAGCGTGAAGACAAAGACGTTGAGCTCGTTGGTGAGTTTCTCGACGAGCGAGCTGAGGCCGGGGATCTTTTCGATCGTGCCTTCGATGCCCTTCATGATGCGGTCGCGCAGCTCGAGGATCTTCCACAGGTTGGCGTACATCTCCTGCGGCGACATGTTGGCCGGGTCGGTCGCCGGGCCGCGCGAGACGTCCTGCAGGTCGCGCGACACGCTGTCGCCGCCGCCGCCAGGCACCTTGGCCAGCATACCGAGCAGGTCCTGGACGGGACTGCGGTTCTCGCCTCGCGACCTCTGCTTGGCGTTGTCCATCGCCTTGTTGAGGTCCGAGATGGAAGCCTCGGACAAGTGGTCCTGGGCCTCACCCAGCAGCGAGTGCATGAAATCGGCACCGCCAAATGTGCCGGTGACGATAGGGGCCACCTGGGTGCCGTCGGGTGCTCGCACCTTGACGTTGTCGCCGACGTGCAGGAAGACGTTGTGGTGGCCGAGACGGTGCAGCGCGAGCTCAGTCCAGTTGCTGTGGGCGGGGAAGTCCTCGAGTGTGTGCAGCGCCTGACCCAGGAGGCGGTAGGCCTCGTACAGGTCCGCCTCGCGTCCCGAGTCTCGTGCACGGCGTCCGGTCTCGATCACGCGCACAAGCGTGCGGCGGATGAGGCCGGAGCCAGTGCGCCAGTTTCCAGACTCGTTGGCGAGGTAGTTCTTCATGCCGGAACGAGGGTCGATCTCGAGCTCCTGTGGGTTGATGGGCTCGCGAAGGCGCGGGTCGTACTGACGAGCGTCCTTGCCCTCGGCGTAGCCTTTGGGGTTGTCGAGGTGCTCCTCTGGCAGATAGACGCCCAGCCTGTCGTCGGTCACCTGAAACTCGGCGGTGGCGTAGCCGTGCGCAAGAAAGCCGAGGACCATGACGATGTTGAGGATGGCCTGCTTGTTCATCTTTTGCAGACCAGCGACGTCCATAGCCTGACTGTAATCGCGAAGCCAGTTGCCAAAGTAGATGCGCTTGATGTCGAGGCCGCCGAACTTGGCGGCGCCAAAGAGCGATCCGCCCACCTTCTTGGCGAGCTCTTCGAGGATGTCCTCGATGTCTCCGTGGCGGAAGGCCTTGCCCTCCATGTAGGCGAACGAAGGGATGTTACCGGCACCGAAGGCATGGGCGCCTGGGATGGATGAGACGGCCACGATGAGCAAGGTCACCATGGCCACAAAGAAGAATCGACCGCCGAGCCAATTGCGACGCCCCTTGGCTTGGTTAGCAGGGGCGGAAGCAGTGGCAGCATCGACGGGAGCGTCTCGGCTAGCGAACAGCTCGGAGTCCTTGGATGCGTCTGCGAGAGCAGACTCGATCTCGTGGTGTGTAGCCATCATAGCAGGCTCTTCTTCTCGAGTGCTTTGTGGGGGATCGGGAGTGTCTGAGACAGGCGAGCGAATTTCGAGTGAAACTTCGTCGCGAGCGGCTTGGACGATGTTGTTGGCGTCACGAGTGAGATTGTCGATGTCTCCACTCAATTCCGAGTCGGAAAGATGATCAGACTGGGCGTCGTTGGAATCGAGCAGTTCAGGGTAGCAAGAGCGTTCGAGATCCACTTGGTCCTGCGTCGATCGGATCAGAGCGTCAATCTCGTCTTGTTCACTGAGACGTGCGGGGACGGAGACAGCGTCGCTGGGCTGACCGCGTTGAGGGGGCTTGCCCAAGTGTTCGCGATCGGTCGGCGGTGCTTGCGTCGTACGAAGCTTGCGCAGTCTGTCGAATAGCAGAGCGTCCTCGTCGGCACTCTCGGCCGGTGTGACGTTGGTGCTGCGGTGGGTTGAGTTCAGTTGCGTTGGAGTGGATGTGTTGGAAGATCGGAGATCAGATGATCGTGGAGGAAGGGAGGAAGGTGCTGCCGCGGGCTGCGCAGAGGATTGCAGACCTTGACGAAGGAGCTTCAGACGCTCTTTCAAAGCCTCGTCGGCCATATGTAGCACCAGGCGAAAAGTCAAAATTGGCAAGTGAGTCAAGAAGCAAGTGCAGCGTGCGTGCGTCGAGGGCTGTGCTCGTGCTGTGCTCGTGCTGTGCGCTGAGAGCAAAGTGGCTCATTCGCTCGGGACTGAAGCGGCGGATGAGAGAGTGTCGTGCGTGAGACTGCGCTTTCAGACGCTTACGCGCACTCAACTGTCTGCAGATGTGCTCTGATTATTGATTCGCACCCCCAAGGTGCTTTGACAGCTTCTTCAAAGGCTTGGCGCTTTGCTGCGCACCGTCGGACCTGACCAACAGGTCCGTGCGCAGGTTGCAGAACATTGTGATTTTGGAAATTAAAATTCTTGTGCGCGTCTCGGTTCACCGCGTTTCTAAGTGAAAATCAGAACAATTTGGATATCTTGTTGACAGAGCTTTTCTCATTCTCGCTTACAGCTTCATATGAGCTACACTGGACCCTTAATGCCATGCTGCTGGCTTAGCTCAGTGGCAGAGCACCTGCTTTACAGCATGCATCGCAGTAGGTCACAGGTTCGATCCCTGTAGTTAGCACAGAAAGTCCTCTGATGGATTTTTTTTCTCCGCAAAAAGTTACATGAGAAAATCTCTTTCCGTCTCGTTGTCCGACCATGGCTTGTCCTGCCTCGAAATTTGTCCTACCACAATCACTCTTGTTCACAAAATCCATCCGAGTTGAAGCGTCGACTCTCCATGCTCAACGGCGCCAGATGCAAGTGCGGGAATACGTGTATGTTCAGAAAGTGAGCCATTCCTTGCGTTGCACCGAAAGAGAGAGAGAG